AGCTGCAGTCTGATACTAAACAGTTCAGAATGAGCTGCAGCTCAACAACTACAGCAGCAACATCCTGCTGCACATTAATGAGGAGGAAGAAGAATCTGAGGAGAGAATATATAATAGTACAACAGACACAGTTAATCTTGTTATTAATGACAAACACAAGTTTTCCTGCTGTCACGTGTCAAAATGTCTCCATAAAAAAGTTCTGCATGCTGTCAGGATTATAACTGTCACACTGCTGCCCTCTAGTGTCTGCAACAACACACTGCGTCTCCACCTGATACTACTACTACTGCTATTAATACTAATACTGCTGCGACTACTGTACTGCTGTTACTGTGTAGAACAAATCCTTCACACTGCTGCCCTCTAGTGTCTGCAACAACACACTGCGTCTCCACCTCATACTACTACTTTTTCACACACTCAACATTTCTCCTGTTTTAGCTTCTCTGCATTGGCTTCCTGTAAAGTCCAGAATAGAATTTAAAATCCTTCTACTTACCTACAAAGCTCTTAATGATCAGGCACCATTTTATCTTAAACTACCAGCAATTTCCCCCAATTTCCAGGACAAAGACCTAAAATAACACACCCTAAAAGAATCAGGAATAACTCCTCAACCATTCGGCTTGGTGCATAATAAGTGAAGATATTTATGTCACCAAAAATCAAATACAAGCTAGCGCACACTGATATGACTTTACTGCATTTATTGTGAGTGAAGTAGTATACTTTGTGCTTCCACGTCGTTTAAAGACAGACACAATGCTTGGTTCAGGTGCTCATATGTTGGGACCTCCATACTGGTCCGTAGAGTGGCGTGGCAATCAGGGGCAGGGGAGCCTCCCGCAGCGTTTCCAACCACGGGCAATAAAACACGAAATTCCCTGTGCACAGCAACAATATTTATTTTTAATATTTATGTTACCATTACAGACTAAATAAAGGAAAATATGAGATTTCCATCCTCGCCTTGTATAAAATCTATATTTTACCATTTATCACCATCAAAACCTCCTCCTGCAGGTTATAATGCAACTGAATATCTCCTGCTACACCTGGACTACAGCTGGAACTGTAAATTTGATGAAGAAACTCAAATACACAATTTATAAAATTATACCCAGGAGGTGTTCATGTTAGTATTATAGATCTACTGTTTACATGTTTCTGTCCACACAAACGTTACAAATAACATCAAGTTCTTAAAACATTGAAATATTGATCAATACAATGACTAGTGATCAATATTGCTTGGACCAAAGAACCCCTTTGCTACCGCAGCCCTTTCATTCGATGTAACTACCACGAGTCAGCGATACTGTAACACTCTGGATGTCAAAGCCAGGAGGGAAACGTCAGAGGTCAGAGTGCATTATATATGGTGCCTTTCTCATTTCCCAAAGTGCCTCCTTGCTCCTCGAGGTGCATTTTAGGAACTGAGATGTTCTTCAAGATGCACTGAGATCAATTTCCAGGTCACAGGCTGGAGCATCGAGGAGGCCCTCGGTCTGTTCAGACATGTTTTTACTTATTTATCAGGGTTGATGAACCTGAATTAATCCAGTGTTCATATTTAGATGCAAATTAGCACATATTTCATTAGATACTGCCTCATTTGCTTATTTAGACATAATATTTTCTACCCTATTCACTTCACGCAGTGTCTCGCCTTAAACAAATGAGCTGATTATTTGTTTGTAAACCATCTGTTTTTTTCATGTAGTTTGGTTTTTATTCCACCTTAAATTTACTTTTATTCTTAAATATTTGTAGCGCTGCTGACTTAGTGCTGCTGCCTGTTTTATTTAGTATTTTCTTTGTAAATAAAATGTTAAAAACACGCCTGTCGCTGTTGAGAAAAGTCCAAGATGATGTCATCTAAACACTTGTTTTGTCCAATCAAACTTCAAACTTCGATGGATCAGGCTTAGTTGCCATCACACGCCCTCAGTATGGCACTTGAGTCACATGATAACAGGTGGTTGTCTTCAGGTGGTAACATCTGTCTCTGTTCACAGACGCTCTCTGGGTTGAACCGCTGTGGTTTGATCCAGTGAATAGTCAGGAGCGAGAGGCGCTGAATAAACGGGGACTACAAAAACACTACAGACGACATTTGTTCTTGTGAAAGTCGGACTGAATCAAATATTATTGTGATTGTGATGAGATTTGTGTGTCCTGGCCTGCTGCAGCATCATCGGCTCTCTGGGCCAGTGTGAGATGGTCAAGAAGGAGTGAGGTTGGATTAATGGACTTTGGAACCTCAGGCCCCAACTCGTCCCTTTCCGTAACTGTCGTCAGCAGGAAAACACGTTCCGCCTCGCTTTTAGGAGGTTGAGGAGGTAAATTTGTGTCTCCTCCCCTGTCAGAACGCACAACCTCATAATCCATGTGGCCCACTCGCCGTGTGACTGCCAGGGGTTCTACCACCTGGTGAGTAATTTAGAGGTGGAATAATACAAGCACCTTATCTCCAGATGCAAACTGGCTTAACCTAGTTCCTCTGCTGTAGAGACGCTGCGGACGCCCTGAGCAAATTCTCCCATGACGACCGGCCTAATGTGTGGAGCTTTGCTCTGATGTTTTCTTTCTGGAAATTACAACCTGAAAGTCGTGAACTCTGACCCTGCACATTTTCTCAAAAGGAGACATTAACAGAAGCAGAGAGTTTTGGCGGTTGTGCTTCTACCATGAGTAAGTCGGCTGCAGAGTAAATGCTTTCTTTTTTGTCTCTTCACGATCAGGACTCAGCACAGGCTGTTTCATACTGAAGAATAAAGCGGAGACCCTGAAGCGGTCGATCAGCTCGTCCACATCTGTGAAGTTAATGGAACATTATCATATGATTTGAATGTGTTATTATAGATTAAACATGTTTTATCAGTTCATAAATAAAGTGCATCTGTTCTGTCTGCATATGTAGAACCAAGGGAGTCTCATGCGGCCTTTGTGATGAAGGTGAACAACCTGAACAACTTGTGTCCGAGAAGGAGAAGGAAGAAGTCAACATTATCAAGGGTCCAGTTCATTATACCAAAAATAAAGAAAACATATTTCCGCTCTCGGTTACTGTATCAAAAAACAAGAGAACCGGTTTATACCAGTAAATATATGAAAATACAAGCCAGGAGTTATAGAGCAGCTGTAACATTATCAGAATCATCAGAATCAGAACACTTTATTGATCCCAGAGGGGAAATTCTTTGTTTCAGATACTCGCATGGCTCAAAGAAATAGATATAATATTAATCATGAAAGCACAATATCAGGATAACATTAGAAGAAACACCAAACAAACTGGGAACCAAGGGAAAATTGTTAGCAACCGTAGTTGAATACATTTTTAATATTGTGCATTTATTCACGTACACAGCAAGAGTCCCGTTTAAAGAGCGCATTGTTGGTGCAGCACAGTTACTTAGATAGTTTAACCTCAGTCATTTCTGTGTGTGCAGAGTTGTTACTGTCAGCACTGATTTTAATTTGGTTTCCACTCTAAAGGCTGTTGTTTGAGTGAAATGTTTCCCTTCTCTACCAGCAGGTGGCAGCACGAGTGTATTTAAAGGTTTGACTGGTTTGTGTGTTCAACTGTTTTTAAACCTGGTTATTGATCCAGATCTATTTAATGCTGTTAATTTCATTTGTTGTTTGATGTTTGTGGTTTATTTGCAACCTGGTTATTTAAAGTATACTTTGTTTTTATATATCTTTTCACAACCATAAAAATAAGTATATGATTCCCAGCAATCTTTTTCTTCTTTAAACATGTTTCCATGTTATTGTTGTTTGAAGAAGTGTGTCTATATTAAGAGTTTTTTTCACCACTTCACAACCCTTTGCTACACACAGTGTCACACAGGACACATGCCAGTAAAAGACATTTCAACCAGTCACTGATGGAAACAACTAAAAACTGTACAGTAGGCCAATAGTTACAAGGATCAGTTTTTGTTCTCATGACTTTCCCTTCACGTCATTCAGTGAGGCTGCCGCATCTTTTCCAGGTTTCTCCAGGTAGGCTCCAGGTGATTGTCTCCAATACTTTACAGGTTTGTTGTGCTGTGAGATGAAACATAAATCAAATCGGTATCTTTAAGGTTTGTTCAAATAGGCGATGGGCCGAGGCCAAGTATCTGCTTTAGTTGTTAGTTGAGCAGACATATCCTGCCTTTCTCCTCCTCTTGAGGGTCTTAGGGTCAGACCCACCTCCTCCACCTCCACATCCACACATAGTCAATATTGAAACAATAGTGTATTCTACCCTACAACACGTCTAAAGACTGAAATGTGACACTAATAAGACAAATTACTGCAAATGCATAAAACTACATCAACACAAGCACTCCAAGTTTATGTGCCGTGTCACACGATGACCTTCACATTCCTCACAGCTGCAGTCTTCTTTGCAGGGGCCCCTTGCAATCACCTTATTCTACTTTTATCAACGGAAAGCCTGTACAATCTGTCAAACACAACCCTGACCCCTCTTTTGAACTGCCTCCCACTACTCACTAAAATCAAGACCTACATTTTTATTTGTACATAAAAACATTACGTTTTTAAACAGGTAAGGCATTTAGCCCGGAGGCTCAGCTGCTCTGCCTAATCTGTAGCAAGGTGAGGGGTGTGTGTTTCAGTCTGCCTGCTGGTTGTCTCTGTGCCGTGTGATGAAATGCCATGTGATTGTGCTGCAAACTAACTTTCCTACGGGGACAAATATATGATTGATACACTGTTTAATTATGTTACTGTACATTAACCAACAAATGTTCTACTCTGCATCCTTACCAGAAACCCAGATTTGCACTCTCCATTCTCTAACCCTGTCCTCTTCTCTTCTCTCTATAATATCTGTGTAACTCCTCTACATGTTGTAAGATATAGCAGGACTGCACTCATCTGTAAAAACACTATTTCTGCACTCCTGGTTAGATGCAAACTGCATTTCAGTAGCTCTGTACCTCTAAAGATCCGCCCCCCTTCAAACAGCTGGTACTCCCATCACTACAGAGTCTGCACGAGCAGCGCATGCTCCTGGGTCCAGTCTGATAGAGACGAGATGGCGGCAGCAGCGTCTAAGAGGATGAGCGTCCGACAGAGAGTTCCTGCTAAGAGCGACCGGGACCGGACCAGCCAGGAAGTCAGCACCGGGGTGAGTACCTGGCTCTGGGACCAGTGTGACAGTTTAATTGGTTGCCACATGAACTGGGGATGTTACTGCAGAAGTTCATGCGGTCGCTCTGATTTGTGCCCTGGTGGTTTTTAATCTGTGTGTGTGCTGACATCCAGCCTGTACGGGCAACAGGATGAGGGATTTGTTGAGTCCAGATCGCCGTTGAGTCAGGACGCTGAAGTTAGCTTCCAGTTCTGCACTTAAGGGAAAGTTAACTTACTGCTGAGCTTTTGCTCCTCTTGTTGTGAAAGCTGTCAGACATTTTAAGTTTTAACTCTGTCTGAAAATCCAAAAAAGAAACTTCCCCATCGTAGGACTACTAGGAAAAGATGTGAGTCCGGCTGGACCTGCTGGGACTTTGTAAACAAATCTGAGGCGCTAAATCTGTACTGTCAGTGTGTTTTCTATAGAGAGCAAAACATAGTGAGGGCTACATGGAAAGGAGGGCAGAAGAAGGAAGGAAAGATACAGAAAGACAGAGAGAAGCAAACTGAGACAAACATTTGGAAGGTTTAGTAGTTAAAGGACTGCAGCCCCAAGTTGTAGCAGTATCTTGGAGCTGAATTTTTCTCTTTAGTGTTTATTCAGAATATTTAATAATTCACAGACTCAGCTTTAAGATTTCTTTATTTGACTGTTCTGCAGAATGAAGTGATGCAGTCCTGAAAATCAAGCTCTTCACAGTCCTCCCAAAGCACACTCTGTACTGCCCTCCCTTTCCAGGACGTCCTCTCCATATTTGGTCCAGTCCAGTCAGTATCTCTGAACCTACAATGAATCACTCTGAGAACTTGGCCGGAAAAGTAGTTTAGTGCACATTCCAACGAGATCGCTTCATCCTGTTCCTCACATGTTGGCCAGAGTCCAAGGAAACCCAACCTAACAGAAAAACATCTGGTTTCTAGTTTTTCAGAAGTCAGTACGTGTGTGTGTGTGTGTGTGTGTTTGCTTTAACGCTAAATCAAAGTACCTCTTATCTGCATGAAAATATGACAACAAAAGTACAAACACACATATTCTACAGCTGTAATCATATCTTAACTAAACCTTATCTCTAAATATGAATTCTGCCTTCTGAACCTTGTGGGTTCACTTTCTCTGTCTGTGTCACACAGAGAGACTGACCTGGATTTATCCTCCATACTTGCTGCACCATTACATCTCACTCACCGTCTTTCTCTCTGTATGTCTGTTATTATAGAAACAGAGAGGAAGAGATGGACTTAAACAACACCACTGTGACAAATCCTTCAGAACATCTGGACAGTCAAAGAATCATCGGAGAGTTCACACTGGAGAGAAACCGTACAGCTGTGACCAGTGTGGGAAGGTTTTCTCTACTTTAAGTAATCTAAAAAGTCACAAATATCTTCACATGGGGGAGAAACCATACAGCTGTGAGCAGTGTGGGAAAAATTTTACCCGATCATTGGAGCTAAAAATTCACATGCGCACTCACACTGGAGAGAAACCGTACAGCTGTGACCAGTGTGGGAAAGCTTTTACTAAGTGGCCTACAAATCCACCAACGTGTTCATACTGGAGTGAAACCGTACAGCTGTGACCAGTGTGGGAAGGTTTTCTCTACTTTAAGTAATCTAAAAAGTCACAAATATGTTCACATGGGGGAGAAACATCTCGGGTTACGTATGTAACCCTGGTTCCCCGAGAAGGGGAACGAGACACTGCGTCGGTTACGACACTATGGGAACGCCTCTAGGCGAAGCAGGTCTGAACATGAATGAAATCACTCCAATCCTATTGGCTTGTTGCTAGAACGGTAAGGTGTGACGGAATAAACGGAGGAGTATAAAGCACACCTTTACACACTCATCATTAGCTTAAACTATGAAGCAGACGCTTCAGGCGGGGAGAGAGGTGCGGCGGGCTGACGCAGTGTCTCGTTCCACTTCTCGGGGAACCAGGGTTACATACGTAACCCGAGACGTTCCCCTTCGAGGGAACTCGAACTGCGTCGGTTACGACACTATGGGAACGAGATACCCACTAAAACGTGCAGAAAACCCCGCCTGCCCCTGTGTGCAATAAAGTGGCACGACTAAGAGGAGAGCGCACGAGTGCCAGGTGCCGAAGGAAGGTCAAGACTGTAAAAACGAATGAATGTGTGCGGAGTGGCCCAGCCAGCCGCTAAACAAACATCCTGCAAAGAGGTCCCGGAAAGGAGGGCTCGAGAGGCCGCCATGCCTCTGGTAGAATGAGCCCTCACAGCCACAGGTGAAGGCAAATTGCACACCTGATAGGCCAGGGAAATAGTCTGAACAATCCAGTTGCTAATAGTATGTTTGGATGCAGGGAGCCCGGCCCTGGGAGACCCAAAACACACTAGCAGCTGATCAGCCTTCCTCCAACAGGAGGACCTCAGAGTGTAAATACTCAGTGCTTCTGACAGGGCAGAGCAGATGAAGTCTCCCGTCCTCCGCCGTCACATGAGGTGGAGGATGAAATGCCTGCAGCACTGTGGACCCTGCCGCACAAGAAGGCACTTTAGGGATGTATCCTGAACGAGGGTGCAGGATAGCCCTAATATTCCCCGGGGCAAACTCCAGGCTTTGCAGGGAAACCGAAAGCGCTTGGAGATCCCCCACCCTCCTCAGAGAGGTGATAGCAAGGAGAAAGGCCATCTTGAGGGTCAACTGCTTAGTGCCTCAGCTGGCTCCAGGGGTTCGAAGGGGGCCTCAGCCAACGCCCCAAGAACCACTGCCAGATCCCAAGTGGGAACCTTGGACCGAGTCGCAGGTCTCATCCTCCGGGCACCACGGAGGAAACGTACAACCAAGGGAAGTTTCCCCAAGGACCCCTCCCTCAGAGGGGTGTGGAAAGACGAAATAGCTGCCACGTACACCTTGAGGGTAGAAGGGGAAAGACCAGCAGAGAACCGGTCCTGGAGGAACTCAAGTACCTGAACCACCGGGCAGGTAACAGGGTCCACCGACCGCTCCCTACACCAAGTGGAGAAAACACTCCACTTCAGGCCGTACATCCTCCGTGTGGACGGGGCCCTGGAGCTCAGGAGGGTCTCGACTGCTCCGGTTGTTAGACCCGCCTCTAGGTACTGTGCCCCCTCAGGGGCCAGACCCACAGTCGCCATATGGCGGGGCAAGGGTGAAGAACCCGGCCCTGCGCCTGGGACAGCAGGTCTCTCCTCAGAGGGACCCGCCACGGCGGGCTGTCCAGGAGCGACATGATGTCCGAGAACCACACCCGGGTTGGCCAGAACGGGGCTACGAGCAGTAGGCCGACTTTGTCCTGGCGGACCTGCTCCAGAACACCCGGGAGCAGAGCAACTGGAGGAAAAGCGTACAGACGTAGCCTCGGCCACGAATGTACCATGGCGTCCAGACCCAACGGGGCTGGAGGAACGAGAGAAAACCATAGCGGGCAGTGCGTAGTCTCTTGAGACGCAAACAGATCCACGTCTATGGGGCCGAACTCTTCGCACAAGAGCTCCACCACTTCGGGGTGAAGTCTCCATTCCCCGGGCCTCAGCCCCTGCCTCGACAGCAGGTCTGCTCCCTGATTCTGCGTCCCCGGGAGATACATCGCCCTGAGCGATAGTAACCTCTGCTGGGACCACAGGAGGATCTGACGCGCCAGTCTGTCCAGAGGGCACGAGTGCAGACCGCCCTGGTGATACAGATAGGCCACCAACGCTGTGTTGTTCTCTTCGGAACGAACCAGGACGTGGTGGCCTTGGAGATCGGGCAGGAAACTCCTTAGAGCCTGGAACACCGCCAACATCTCGAGACAGTTGATATGCCACTCGGATTGATGCACCTGCCAGGATCCCCTTGCAAAGTGGCCGTCCATGACCAGCCTGTGAGGGAGGCGTCTGTCGAAATAATCAGCCGGCGACAAGACCCTCCCAGCACGGGCCCCTGGGACAGGAACCAAACTGGAACCAGGATCCTTCCAAACTGATAGGGAACGAAGACACTTGCGCGTAACCCAAATCAGACGGAGAGGATTTCCCCTCGGGGAAAGACCCTTGTTCCTTAGCCACCACTGCAGGGGTCTCATGTGCAGCAGTCCAGATGGTATTACGCTGGACGCAGCCGCCAGGAGACCCAACACTCGTTGAAAGTGTTTCATAGTGATGGCGTGGCCTAACTTCACCCCTTTCACGGCAGCCAATATGGTGTCGACACGTGCCGGAGACAATTGTGCCCGCATCGTTGTTGAATCCCATACAACCCCCTAGGAACGTAGTCCGTTGGGTGGGCGCCAGCACGCTCTTCTTTGCGTTGAGCCTCAGCCCTAAACGCTGCAGATGAGCCAGAACGACATCTCGATGCCGAACCGCCAACTCTCGAGACTGGGCTAGGATGAGCCAGTCGTCGATGAAGTTGAAATCCGGATGCCCTGGAGCCTCAGCGGGGCCAGTGCTGCATCCATACACTTGGTGAATGTGCGAGGGGAAGTGCCAGGCCAAATGGAAGAACCCGATACTGGTAAGCCACACCCCCGAAGGCAAACCTCAGGAACTTCCTATGAGAAGGACGGATGGAGACCTGGAAATAGGCGTCCTTTAGATCTATCGTGATGAACCAATCCTCAGATTGGATGTGCGTCATGATGGCGGGGATGATGAGCATCTTGAACCTGAATCTCCTCAGAGACCGGTTAGAACCCGCAGATCCAAAATAGGGCACGCAGCCCTCTGTCCTTCTTGGGGACTATGAAGTACCGGCTGTAGAGGAGTCTGTCTGGGGGGGAGACACGTTCCACGGCCCCTTTCCTCAGCAGAGTACGAACTTCCTGTCCCAACACCGGACCTTGCTCCGGGCGGACCACAGTCCAAACCACCCCCTCTCTTCTGTTGAATTTGGAGGGCGGGTTTTGAACTGTAGTTGATACCCATCTATGGCAGTGCGCAGGACCCGCGGAGAAATGTTCGTCAGGCTCCGCCAAGCCTCTGCAAAGTCTGCCAACGGAACCAGCCCCTCGGGGCTGGTGGTCGGTGTCTCGTGTGATCTTCTGGTGGACCCCTGAAGCCCCAGAACGGCAGGGGAGAGCCGCCGAAGATCCACGGTGAGTGAGTCGGGACACCGCCCGACTGCAGACCCTCGGGGCGGGCAGTACGGCGTGGACTCGATGGTGGCAGGTGCGTCCTGAACGTGTAAACGGATAACATCACCTGTTGCCATGTACGCCTTCCCCACGAGCGTGGATGTGGTGCGACATGGTTTGGATGGTAACGCCGGCTTCTCCAGGGAGGACTAAAGTCGAGGGGAGAGATAGCTCACAAGCGCATCCTCCACCCGAGGCATCCTCCCATAACCACGGTCCCTAACCCCCATCACATTACTGTAGTTTAGTGATCGGGGTGTGGAAAGCCGTGTAGAGAAGGGTCTGCCCCATGATTACTCAGTTCATCATGTAAATCAGGAAAGAATGGCAGAGACCGGCGTGGAGGTGGCGTGTGGTGCTTAAGAAACCTTTCATCCAGCTTACCACTAGCCTGTGGTGTCTGCTCCTCCTGTGGGCAGTCGATGTTGAGCTTAGCCACGGCTCTAGTCACCACCTCCAGCAGCACGTCATAGTCGGGCGCCGCCAGATGACGGCGCCCCGACACCCGGAAGTCATCGTCCACTGCGCTGAGCACGTCCGCCTCCTCGGAGTCGGATTGCTGCAGCGTCTCCGGATCCAAACCGCGAGCGAGAGAAGCCGAGAATGGGCTCCCGAACGAGGAAAGGAAGCGTCGGAGCCAGCGGATGAAGGTTGGAAAAAAGCCTCAGCCGTCCCGAAATCCTCCGACAGATCACGCTGTGAACCCATGAGTGAAGCCGCCGGGCCGCCTCAGCGGCCGCAGGGCCCGCGCCACGGGGAAAACACATCCGGCCATCCTCGGAAGAGAGAGCCATGCTGTACCTCAGTACCCGCACGGAAAGGGCTTCGCAACGGGCGCAGGCAGCCCCCTCGAGAGCTGCCCGTGCGTGCTCCATCCCCAAACATGAGACACACATCTCATGAGAATCTCCATCCGTGATGTACCGAGGGCAAGAAAAAAAAAACACACCTTCTGTACATCTGGTTGCCGGACATGCTGGTAGACTTCTTCTTCAGGTAAGACACACTGCTTGTAGGACTGGAGCTTTCTTCAAACAACATACAGAGCGCCTGCTGAATAGAAAAAAGCTAATGATGAGTGTGTACAGGTGTGCTTTATACTCCTCTGTTTATTCCGTCACACCTTACCGTTCTAGCAACAAGCCAATAGGATTGGAGTGATTTCATTCACGTTCAGACCTGCTTCGCCTAGAGGCGTTCCCATAGTGTCGTAACCGACGCAGTTCGAGTTCCCTCGAAGGGGAACCATACTGGTGTGAGCAGTGTGGGAAAAATTTTACCCAATCATTGGAGCTAGAAATTCACCAACGCATTCACACGGGAGAGAAACCTTACAGCTGTGACCAGTGTGGGAAAGCTTTCACTCAGTTGGGTTGCCTAAAAATTCACATGCGCACTCACACTGGAGAGAAACCGTACCGGTGTGAACAGCGTGGGAAAACATTTACTCACAGTAAAACCCTGAAACGGCACCAATGCGGTCACGCTGCATCGCTGTAAACATTTTTCAGAGCCAAGCTAGCTCTTGCCTGCTGCCTCCTCCTCATGCTGTGTTATATTGTGAGCTTCTCTTTAAACTGAGAGATAGACAACAGTAACTTTATATTCTGAGCAGCATGTGCGTTAATGTGTTAACTGTTTCTACTGATGTTATTATGAATTCGTAAACAAGTGTCAATGAGCTGAATTTTTGTACATTTTTAATACACTTCAGATCTCAAACCTGTAAAATAATATTTAAAACTCACCGTTCAGCTGCTGGCACTATTCCACTAGCACTGCGAGGAAGAAGTGCTTCCTTACCGTCCATTAATCTGCCAAGTGCCCATAATATCACTAATAAAATGTAGGGACTTTAGGAGCCGTCAGCCCTTCCTCTCTGATCTCTCTGGGACGTCCCAGATGACCACTCTCTCTCTGGGGAAGTCGGATATGAAACTCAGCAGAAGGACATAAATCCTTGAGATGAGTTTTATTAACCCAAGTGTAAATAAATGTACAGTCACTGGTTCAGTAATAATCTCACTTGATTGCTTTTTGATGGTTGGCGCAATTCTGATGATTTTCGCATAAAGTTTTAAGTAATCAGAAGTTAGAAGTTTAACAGTTAATGGGATTCTTGTCATCCCTGCGTTTCTGTTGTTTTGTGTAAGATGAGTTAGTATATGTGTGATCAAACTAAGTGTTGAATCTGCTACCATTTTATTAGTAGTGTTGAATTTATGCTTCTGATAGTTAAGTGGTTAGGAAGCTTATTATTAACTGTGTTAGGTTTATATAACATGTGTGTGATGGATGCTCAACGTCAACCCTGTTTTTATGATGTGACTGTGCGAGACATGTTAAATTATATAGTTCCATAATGTAGAAGAAACCACAAAGAAAGATGATTAGTTACGAGGCGTAAAACAGTTTGAGTGTGAAAACCTTTCCTCCTCCTCCAATACGCACCCTATCTGATGGTGGTCCGGCCTCTTTCACCTATGTTTCTTTACCACTACATTACTCTTCTACAATAATAATAATAATAATAATAATAATCTTTATTTGTAGAGCACAAGTGTAAAGACAATAATACCTAAAAGACAATAATGCAAAAACAATACAAGAAAACATTGAAAAGACTAAAATATAAAATAAGTAAAATAGAATAAAATAAAAGGGATTAAATAAAGTCAAATAAGATCGGGAAAGGCTCTCCTATAAAAGTATGTTTTAAGAAGGGACTTAAAAGAGTTCACTGACTCAGCCGACCTGATTTCCTCGGGCAGGCTGTTCCAGAGCCTCGGGGCCCTGACAGCAAACGCTCTGTCCCCTTTAGTTTTCAGTCGAGACTCTGGAACAGACAACAGACCTCTGCCCGAGGATCTCAAGGTACGTGCTGCTGCGTATGGGACTAAAAGGTCAGAAATATAACAAGGCGAGAGGCCATGAAGAGCTTTAAAAGTGATCAATAGAATTTTAAAGTCAATTCTAAAACATACTGGGAGCCAGTGTAATGAAGCTAAAATAGGAGTAATGTGGTCATATTTCTTTGTTCTGGTTAAAAGCCTGGCAGCTGAGTTCTGGACAGTCTGGAGTCGATCAATAGATTTTTGGGTTAAACAGGTGAAAAGGCTGTTGCAATAATCCAGGCGTGATGAGATGAAGGCGTGTAAAATGGTCTCGGTGTCCTTAAAAGTTAACATAGATCGAATTTTTTCTATATTTCTAAATTGATAAAAACATGATTGAACAAGCTTTGTGGTGTGTTGCTCGAAATTTAAATTACTATCAAACCAAACACCAAGGTTCTTTGCCACAGGCTTAATGTGATTTACTAGGGAACCAGCAGATGGCAGTATTTGATTTGCCATCTGCTGGGACCCGATGACCAGGATTTCTGTTTAGTCTGAGTTCAGTTGGAGGAAATTATTATTATTATTATTACATCCATTTTTTTACTTCACAAAGGCAGTTATTAAGTGAACTCAGCATTCCAGGGTCTGTGGATCTGACGGGCACGTATATTTGTGTGTCATCAGCATAAATATGAAAAGAAATGCCATTTTGGGGATAATATGTCCAAGGGGAAGCAGATACAAGGAAAGAAGATACAAGGAAAGCAGATACAAGTCTGCATTATTATTCCATGGTCTGCCCACGTCATCTCCGGAGTTTTTTTTGTCAACACGTCATATAACCCTTATTAAAACCTAATTTACTGGCTTTATTCACACATTTAGTTATGAATAAATTTTCCTTTATCACCAAGTCTTTGTCTGTGAATATTTCTTAAGGATAAATATATTGGGAATTCACAACTCAGGTAATAAAACTTATTAATCTGCTTTCTCTCATTGTTCCTGTGATTGAAGGTGTTGCCCCAAAAGATGTTAGGAGTGCAAATATTCCATGTAAAGTAGTAGTCCTGCTATCTACATTTTTGTTTTCTATTACTGAAGATGATTTGGAATCCTTCTTTGTTCAGACTGAAAGCAATGCCAAATGTAATCGATGCAAAGAAACAAAGCTTTTTGCACCAGCTGAGGTGAAGACAGGTCAGCTCAAGTGTTAATGTTGCAGCTTCAACAAAAATCTTTATTCTCAACGAATCAAGTTAATGTAATGTAATGTATAAAGGTTTCAGACATTTTTGGCGCTCATTACTTTTGGAGATGACACTTGTAGCTTGTTAGCTTTTCTTTGCCAGTGTGTGTTGAAAGAGTGAGTGCTCAAGTTCAGCATACCACATTATAGTTTAGGTTCACTTACCTGTGACCATTAAAATCCTTAAGCGTGCGACGTGAAGTGCATGGTGCAGGTCCCTGTGTAGTTTTTCTGAATCCACTTTTGCTAGTTTACAGGGTTTGCTAGAGAACATGGTTCAAAAGATTTGTACGTAGTCTCTAATCATGGGTGTGTTTTGGGGCATCACATGCAATAAACCAATCAGTGTCATCTCCCATTCCCTTTAAAAGCAGGTGAGCTTGTACCATGGTGCATTGCTATTTAAAGGAGACCTGTTATAATGCATTTCCAGTCCTATATTGTAGTTCTATATTGGGGCTGCATGTTCCTTTGTGGGTGTGGTCAGCATTCTCTGCCTGGAGCAAATGACCATATTTACATTTACATTTTTTCATTTATTCATTCAGCTGATGCTTTTATCCAAAGCGACTTACAGCTGCTATACATGTCAGAGGTCGCACGCCTCTGGAGCAACGAGGGGTTAAGCGTCTTGCTCAGGGAGACATTGGTGGATGTCTCACAGTGGGAATCGAACCCAGGTCCCACACCAAAGGCAAGCATCTTATCTATGCGCCATCACCACCATCCGGCTCGGAATGACATCATATCGAGCCGTTTAAAACAGAACGTTCAGAACAAGAGGAAAATCTGAGGTTTTGTCTCACAGGGATTTCTTTTAAATATGTTTACCTCATTATTTGAAGCTTTGGTCATGTTTAACATGAATATGAACAGCTGCAATAAAAAATGTCCCGCTAATGTGTAGCTTTTTCAAAAAAGCAAGAAGTGAAGAGGAGGATGTCGAGCTAATCAGTGTTAGCTTGGAAGCATCGTCTACCAGGGGCGCCCCCAGAAAATTTTCCCAGGGGTGGCCAGATGGGGCCACTGAAAATCCTGGGGGTGGCACACTAAACCAAAAGCCATAACTGAATTTCAGGATTTCTATTATGCAATATAGACTAGTTGAATACTACATAAAAATGTGAGTTAAGGAATCACAGACTGATATCCTTTGGATTCTTATACTAAAACCAGTTCAGTTAACATTCCATAAAAATCCTGTTTGATGTGTTATCTGTATATGTGTTAGGCAATTAATTGTTCTTTAAATATGCAAGCTAACCTTTTCCTTAAAAAGCATTTATTTGTAGGAGTGCAGTGATGGGGAGGAACAAAACATTTACTGGGAACAAGTCAACTCAAGATTACAGACATCATGGAGCATAAATATTTTTCTTTAAATTCAAATTGAAATATACAACGTGTGTCTGTATAGAGTTGTGTAATTATTTGTTAACATTTGTTAACAAGGATAGGTATTCTTGCAATATCCCACTTTTTAACAACCGATTTGACCAGTGTCATATTTATATGTAAAAATGGTGGTGGGGCACCGACCATTTCAAAAAGCAGTAGGAAAGTGGCTGTATGACAACATCATGACAACAACCGTAATCTGTAGCCAGGGGCCTGCACCGCGAAGCGAGTTCAACATACCCAGGACATGTTTTCGTTATCTGGCTTAACTAACCCTAACAATCGCGATACCAAGAAGCTGGTTATCAACTCGGTAAGTCAACCCAGGGTTTCCCAATCCATCCGGGAGCACGTTCACGTTTAAGAGGCGGTGTTAGCAGCAGATGACCAATCACAGACATGAACAAGTCCACTGGCAGCAGAGCGTCATATTCTATGAACGAGGTTTAAACTGTAACACTACAGAAATGCGACAGTAGCACACCTGCATCTGACACATGCAGGGAGACAGAAAACCGCAGACAGTGTGAATGCCTAAATGAACAGGCGTGGTCTATAATATTGTGTTGATTTAAAGTGTTCTTATGAGCTGTATGAAAATATCAGCCTTATTCTTTCAGCTCGGCTGTGTCGGCGTTTCCACATTAAAAGACACGGGTCGTACCACCTCACTTTAAAAAAACCTGTCGTCACTTCAAAAATGAAATTAATTTATTTAACACACTCAAAGTGTCCAAACATTGTTCTAAATTAACTTCATAAAGCAATGTCTATGAAGATTCTCAGTCATCCAGGTCATAGTTATCCAACGAAGGTTAAAATCAAGGGCAGCTGGACTTGGTTGAAGATACTGGAAGACGTTTCGTCCCTCATCCAAAGGACTTCTTCAGTTCTGACTGACTGGCAGGGAAACTCAGCTATTTAACCTCAGTGGGGTCGTTTGCCAGGATCGTCGATACCGCTGGTTCGTTAGTGTTCCTTGTTGCTGTGACGACAGTCGTTACAGTCGTTAAGACTACCTGTGGCCGAGACTGAACGACCATCGTTGGTATCTTCACCTGAGGCCAATAGGTTACGTCTGTTGAGTTTCCTGGGAAGTGATGAAAGGACAGCATTGTAAGTGGGGGATAAGTGGTGGCGTAGACCCCCTCCTCTGTTCAATGACGGCTTCCTACAAGGAAGACGAATCTTTATCTAGGTCACATGCAGTGTTGGGCAACTTACTCAGAAATTGTAATATATCACTAGTTACTTATTAGTCCTTAAAAAATATGATTACTTTACTTATTACTGGGTGATAAAAGTAACTAGTTACGTTTCTATATACTGTCCAGTGTTTCCCACAGAATGACAGGGTGGGGTTATATTTCAACAGGTTTGAGAAGCGGTGTTCATGAGAGAGAGAGAAAGAGCGAGCGAGCCTGGAGGTGCTGCACGAATATATGCTCCTCAATCAAAAATGATTTTAAATACACCTAATAAAAAAATTATTATAAAATCAATAGGTGGCGGTCTGTGTTGATAATTATCCAAATTATAGGCTAATTATGGGAAACACAGCTTTCACTACCACCCCCCCTTCACCCCCAAACAAAGCGTCTCTGCCGACTTTTTAACTAATATCATATTCAACAGCAGCAAGGAGTGTGTTTTTTCTGTAAGTTTCACGTCGCTGTGCTGCTTCAGCAGACGCTTCAATAGATCAGATGTAGAAATGTTCGCTGTAGAAAGCTTTTTGCTGGTCGCACAGAGTTTACACTAGACCACAATGTTCTTTGCATCTTAGACTGTGACACAATAATGGCAGCAGCTACTTACAGCTGTGGAAAGAACGCCTCTCTCCCTCATTCTCCTTTCTTCCTTCAGCGACATGAACAACAAAGTCCGGTCCCGCTGAGCTGCAGCACAGTCGTGGATTCAAGTCAAGGATGGTGCGTTCAGTAACAGCGTTACTTGGATTAGTAACTGTAATAATTTTACTGTTTTAGAAAAGTAATTAGTTACACTACTTAGTTACTGGGACAAGTAATATTATTAACATGCCACTCAAATAC